TGTGACCTTGAAATTGACCTTTGACCTACTTTTTATCATGAACTGAACTCTGCTAATTTCTTTCTCTTTTAACTTCAAACTTGACAGAGATAGGTCCATAGTTACTCTTGAACTTGAATAGGAAGTCATATACTGGCAATTTACTGTGACCTTGAAATTGACCCTTGACCTACCTTACGAAGAACTTAAATTTGATTGTACCATATATATTTTTTGCAATAGTTTAAAAATTCTTGTTGATTGCATTTTTACAGCTTGTCAAGCACAAAACTGGTGGCTGTGTCCCTTATTTTGTGTATGTGGGGGTCTATACGAATGCGTTTGCTCCAGCTGGTGGTACAATATTTGGAGGCGGTATCGCCTCTCTGATCCTCTAGTTTTATTCACCTTCATTGTGAGTCCTAACACCCAAACACACATTGTTGGCTAGACAGGCCCCAAATCCTGGGGACAATTTTGGATACAAATAGAGTATTGTAAATACTGCTAAGTTTCTAAAACTAAATATCATTTCTATGAAATCTAAGATGAGATGACTTCATTTAGAAAAAATATGGTCAGGTGTGCATTTTATGCACCTGCTGGGAGTTTAGCAATGTTCACTGTTGATCTTGAAGCAAAAATTAAGACGGCTAAGGAGTTCAGCCCCCCAGGATACAACAATTACTCAAGACTAATCCTCAGAATAACTTGACTTGCAAAAATAAATATAGGATAAGCAGGGATGAGATTTTCCCAGACTTTTGAGATTGATGCAGATCTGCAATTAAGACTCTGGGGGTGGGGGGTAGGGGTAAATTTCGTCCATGCCTCTGCCCCTGGACCCTGTAGAGGGCCTCAGCAGCCCCCTGGACCCCACGCCAAATTTTCAAAATTCAGTCCCATCCCTGTACAAGTACTAATTATATAAGAAAGAGATATTATATTTGTTCAAAAGCATTGTGATTGTAGGGAATAATTGGGTATTTATAGGTCTTTAGGGCATGAAATCATATTTTAATTATAATTTTTGTTTGGTAACTAATCGTTGTCATCAAGGCCATGTATACCGTATTTTGCACATATATGTTTTCATACTCTCATAGAACATTTATGCCACTGATAATTTTTTACTTAATCATTGTAGCTTTTGACAAAGATATATTTTATGTGCATTAAGCTGTTTATAGAAAAGAACCCAGACAAAATGTACAACTATAAATGTCTATGTACCTGGCTGTCATCTTATCTGGCACACTGTAGATTTAAAGCATGTCTTACTGGTTTATTATGCCATGAGCAAATAATATGCTATCTGCTTTGAAAACCCGTCAGCCCCTCAGGTGTTTTTGAAATTACTTGCTGTTAAGATCCACTTTGCAGGTATTATAGCCACATGTGTCAAGCTTCAAGTGAATGAATGAGAATGACATATTGCACACAGGTGACAAGCATCTGATATTAAATAATACACTGTACAATATGCAGCTGTCTTCCATGACCCACAGTAAATGAAGGAACCTCCTACCCAAAACCCCTGCGACCTGCATTCATGTGGTATTTCCATTGAACTTAAATTTAAGTGACAAACCATCTCCATAAGCTTAGATAAAAAGATGTACCCTTCTGCCATTAGGATTCAGTAATGAATGTCATCTCAATTTTCATAAATCTGCCTAGGGTAAAAGCACAAATATAGGGGTCCCTCCCACAATCAAAATATTAATTTTGCCAGTGTGACTTGTACAACATTATGATCCCATAGAAATACTTAGTGAATGGTCCAACTTACACAGGCCTCCTGGTGCAAACACCATGACCCACCACCATATATTTAACATAGAGATGTGATGAAACCAGTGAAGAAAGGTAACCTGGTCATTCTTCTTCCTCAACACCATTAGGACAGTGTCCATCAGTTCAATGGCTTTGGAGAAGAAGTACCACCATAAAACTTTGGCAACCTGGATGAAAAGAGTATTGAATACTTTATGAGCAAACCCCCTTCCTTGCTAAATATAAAAATCGAAAAACAATCTACATGTCTGAACTGTTTATTTACCAAAATGCTTACATTTCTTTTGGCAATAAAATTATTGCAACAGAAATGCCAAATACTAATGCATGATTTTAAGTATCTATAAATTACTGTCCAAAAACAATTTTCAAAAATGTGTTTCAAACAATAGTTTTGGCATATCAAGGTCCAATATGCAATATGTACTAGTAATACTTTTTCTTACCCTCAACTCTCTGGGATCATTCACATCTACAGTTTCTACATCGTATTCTGCACAAAGCAGGCCATAATTGGCAGCATAGGAACTCAAAAGTATCTGCAAAGAAGAAACAAGTGAGCAAAAATTAGCTAAAAGTTGTCTGTTTCAAAGAGTGCCATTTTTTCAGGGAACTGCCTTTGGAAATATTGTAAGGAATTTGCAAAGTTACTTCAAATTCAATAAAATCATAATCTATATTAGATTTTGGCACTATCACTCAACTCACTAATCCTCTACCCTCTACCAGTGCCACATATTGATTTTTCACTAGATATTCACAGATATGTCTCTAGATAAATGATGGTACTTTTACTGCACTGTGCGTCAGAGAAAAGTGCATATAATTATTTGCCACCTTTGAAGAGGGTACTAATCTTCCTGGGGTCTTTACAATGTCTTAGCACTTATCAACCAGCACTCTAATGAGTTTTAAACTCAAACATAAAACAGCTACATGCAAATTCCTTGGAAGTGCAATTTTTGAGCAGGGATAGTAATTTTATCAATACAAGAAATATAAATGATCTAAAAAGCAACCTGGGGAAAAAAATTGAAGGATTCAAGAAAATGAAAACCCTGTTTACTATCCCATTAAGTGTGTTGTAATAAAAATAAATAGAAGAGGAAAAGTAATAATAATCCCATTGCCAAACATTTGTGTAACAGATTTGCCAGAGATGTATTGATCACATGGAATTCATTACCAACAATTTTCCAGCAAAAACTAATTTTTATTTTATTTAATAACCAATTATTAAAAGACATTCTTACATACTATCATGTTTTTAAAGTTCTTTTTGTACTTTCTGTACAGCAAGGTAAGACAAATGATAAAAAACAAATATATCAAATTTGGCAAAAAAAGGTATGTTTAACTTGAATTTGACAGAGCCCTAGATCGAGACTCAATTAAGAACATTTAAGTATTTATCCAAAGTATTATCACTGGATAAAATACCTCCAGCCTAAAAGTTTATTTCAGTGAGAAATGAAATACTACATATACATGTAGATCTATAGTTGTTTGCTGTTAGCTAATAGCCAATCTGGCAAAGCTTTCACAAATGGTCCTATATGTATAGTGTAAATGAGGTCGGATATGTGTCATGCATTCATATACACAAATAAATCTCAAACCTCTTTTAAACTTTGAGGTTGTTCACATTTGTTGATTTTTTTTTTAATTCCACCTGGGTGTGCTACGAATAACCATTATATCACCCATCATCAATGACATATTTATGATATCACTTACCTCAATCACCATGTAAGCAGACAAAACAACCAGACCCATGTTGTATGCCACCAGCAACCCTTGCACTTGCAATGGCTTTCTGTTTTTCATGAATACTGGTCCAAGGTATACAAATGCTACATATAATACTGTGATAAGCCAGACACTGTAAGGTGAATTTCCTATAAGAAGCCAGTCTTTTGTTCTTGGGTCTGGAAAATAGCAAGGAAACTATCAACTGTTCATTATACTGACCTGGCAGCACAGAAACTTTTGCAGTCAAAAAAAAAAAAAAAGTCTAAAAATGAACAACTTTCTTCATTAACCTTAAAGGTATAACTGGGGTAGCGCTAACACTCGCCAATTTAGCCAAATGCTAAAACTGACTTAAATTGGCTAAACAAAAAAGGGCTTGATTTGACTAATTTAAGTCAAATTAAAGCCATTTGGATAACAAATTGTCAAAAATGTGGTGATTTGGCTAAGGGAAAAATATTGCTAGCGCTACCCTAGTATAATGTCACAAAACCTAATGAATAAAATTTCCAATTTAAGTAACGAGAATAAAATAAACTGGCTGTGCAAAATGCAATATGCCTTATACCACATGTCAGCAGAATTACAACATAGTGCAATATTACAACATAGTCTTTGAGACCATTCCCACAGATATTTAGATCAATCTATCCCCCTGGGGAGTCTCACTAAATTGCTGTCAACTTGGCCGGCTTAAATGTCTGTCACGCTTAGTAAAGCTGTTAGGGGGTAATCATCTTTACCCTAGCTGATTCGGTAGGCGTGACAGACATTTAATCCTCTTGAACTGACAGCAATTTAGCATGAGCCCCCAGATGGATCGATCTAAATCTGTGGGAATGCAGTCTTTGATTACCAAATGTGCCTCTACATCCATAACTCCACTTACCTCGTTTGGCCGTTTCATAGTCTTTTAACATTTTCTGCACTGGGGACATGAGTAAATCCATCTTGGAAATTGTTCTGAGCTATCCCTAATCAATATAAGACCTGACAGAGATTAAAGACATTTTCTTATATATTATATCATTCAAACTTTAAGTTAAAGTGAGTAAACTGTTTACAGTTATAGTAATCCATCAAAACAGATTTTAAAAAGAATATTTTAGTACTTTTTTTTTTTTTTGTTATCAGATATACATTTCCTGCCCAATCAAAACCGTACATTCAGTTTGTGCACATTTACTACGTATTCATTTCAATTTTTGTGTTTGGACATCTCAAGCAATCTTTTGCACAGCTCCTGTAAATGCTTGAAAAAGCACCGTTTTGACACTAAAAAATAAACTTTTACTTTTAAAACATTCTTTGCCAGTACCAAAAACTATTTTGCCAAATTTAGGCCTTTATAATCATTGATCCCCCAGCACACTCTCAGCTATGATTGGAGCTATGGTGTTAAAACATTTCATTTCCTATTATATTGGATAGGGCAATAGGGTAGGGAATTAATAAACTCCTAACATATTTATGATTTTTTTTTTATTACTTTGATCTGAATGCTTTATTGCTTGGGCAAAAGTGCATCCACTCCCAAAACAACACAAAACAACATCAGCTTGTGAAAAACAAACAAAAGATAAATAACTTTTATCCATATCAGACTTCATGCAGTATCTTTTTTTTTCTAACTTGTTGAAGGCACTCGGTTACCTTCTTGCATTGAGTCAACACAGTACAGTACATCTAACTGAGTCAACTAGACCGCCTGCCATCAACGTGCTTTAGGTCTATTTTTGAACTGTGACCTAATTTTTTCTCTCACGCCATACGGGGCACAACCTTCATCGCCAATAGTACAAAGTATACCAGCCAGTGTACTGATCAGTGTGATATTGTCAAGTCCACCTCTGACTCACATACACTGCAATACATGTACAATTTGTGAAAGAACTCTGCAAGCTGTCAGGTAAAAGCATAATTTACCGTTCTATATTTGTTTAGGCATACCCTACTCCAGCCACTGCTAGAATTTAAATATTAAAAAATGTTTCATTTTACTTTTCTTTGAAAAGGGTGCTGAAAGAACCCCCCTCATCTCTGACTACCCGCCTTATAGATTATACCTACCTTATATGCAGTGCGCTGCGATTGATTGTAGTTAGAGACCAGCAATAATCTGAATAGACAGTCTGAGTTAAGGACCTCGGGGCCAATAATAATACAAACATCGAGAGCGTTAACAGACACACCTGAGGTGGTCAGATGAAGCTCGCTAATGAACATTGAGGCATACAGACCAGTCAAGATTGTATAAACCCCAGTGAAGTGATGCTGAAGAACTACTTGAAAATATCGCAGCGTCTAACGGCAATTCATTACCCCGTAACATCACATATTGCATTTTAGCCCCCAAACAAATCAGACTGCTAGTGTCTATAAAGGTATATCAACGTCTGTGGTGCGAGACTCCAGCTAGTAACTTGACCATATGAAAGTATAACACACAAAACGGCGCAAACAAGTCAAAGTTTACCTATTACAAGACCAGCTTCATTCAGTTTTCCTAGCCGGCATATATTAATAGCAACTTTGACTTTGTATGCTTGGATAGCAACGACCGCCCCACGTGCAAACATGTAAATTCCTCATCAGACCGACTCTTTGAGGTGTCGGGGCAGAGAGGCGTCTTGAAATCAACTTTCGTGAGAAATAAAACAAATGACACAAATTACAACATGCTATGGCGAAAAAAGTATTGCACATATTTGGAAATGGAGAAAAGTGTCTCACCTTACTCAAGTTGATCTCGCCAAATAAGCTCAGCGTTAATCAGGGAGCATCAATCAGCCGATTCCCATCTGATATGACCTTTGACATACGTCAACCAATCAGAGTCAACGTAAGTGTCCTACTTTCCATGTGACCTAGCCGGTATCTCAGGTAAATAGTGAGTAGGGCCAACACGTGGGAGAGAATCACCGATAATGTAGTTATATAGAAACATTATGATTATTTTTCAAATGGGGATTACGATCTAATAGCGCTGATTCAAATGATAAAATGGAATATGCGAAAACACAACAGCAAATTAAAATTTTCAGCATTTTCATTTCATTTCATTTCATTTCATTTCATTTCCATTTTCATTTTCATTTAGACTTCTTTTTGACTTTTCCCGAGACTTACGTTTTTCATACGTTTTGCTTTTGATGTTTCTTTTTCTAGCATGTTCTCAAATATCGGTGAGCATAGCAGTGTGCCTATTCCTTCTACTTCTTGGTGAGGTTTGCAGCAAGGAGCAGTATTATAGGTATGTATGTAGGGTGTTTATTTTCCGTCTTCCCGAGTCTCTCTTCCTTGGTATCCCCCCCCCCCTCCCCCCGACTCGACAAACGCCTCGTCATCAAAGGCCTTATAAGTGACGCGCATGGGTGGATGAACGATTAATCTATTTTCTAATATCATTATTTAGCTATCTTGTATCTATTAGCAAAATCACGTTCAGGAAAAAGTCTAAGGGGAGCTCATCCAGAAACCGCGTAGATGAAAAAGTCAAAAGGTTCGCTTTATTTTAGTTTTCAATACAAATACAGACCGTGAAAGCCTGGCCTAAAGATCCTTTTGACTTAACGAGTTTTAAGTAGGAGGCAGAAAGTTACAATAGGGATAAGTGGCGTGTGGCAGTTAAGCGATCATAACGACTCATTCTTTTTTTTCCTTTGATATCGACTCTTCTTATAATTGAGATACGGAATTCAACAAGCGTTTAATCGCAATAGAGAATTTGAGCTAGGAACTTTTATTTACGACACAAAAGTTTATTTGTAAGTTTATTGTTGCTATGGAGAATATCTTTAAAATATTGTACACCTTTTTTAATTTCTAACTTCTATTTTAAAAAAATCTGTAAAATGTGTATTATGCGCTGGCATCAGTTCATTTTCTACGTGCTTCGGTCCATTCGTTCAAACATCTTCGTCATATCCCCACAATATTAAATATCCTTTTTTAAAGAAGTAAATTATTCCTATATGATAAGAAGTAGACAGGATGTAAAGCCCCCACAAAAAGATGAATGTCTTTACGATATATATAAATATCTTTTGAACAACAATATTTAAAAGGAGCGATCATCTGTATGTTCTCGGAAGTGTAGGCCTATTTTATGAAATAAACCACATAGGACAAAAAATGGAAATGTAGGCCCATTTTATAAAATAAACCACATAGAACAAAAAAATTGCAGAACGAAAGAATGAAACAAGTTACTTTATAAAAAAATAAATCTCCAATAAATCAAAGTTGTAGACACGAATATTATGAACTTTTCAGCTATCTTCACCCTAGGATCTTAGGTTGGATCCTGGGTTCACCACACTATTTCCACCCTACATTAATGAGCTTGTTGGATTAAAGTCTCGAGGATTCGATCGTAGCGCTCTCGTTGACAATGCCGTTCTCTTTCTCAACAAACTCGTCACTCTCAGGGGGAAAGAAATCCTCGCCTTTCTTCCTCATTTCCTGCAAGAGTTCAAGACACACGGGTATTTCAACAATGCAACAAAGCTGTCAAATCGAAATACATACACAATGGTAAATGTCAGAACTGACAGAAGCAGTTAGCCTACATTTAAACAATCTACAAGTGATGAACCAATCTAAATATCAAGTGCACGAAATATTAATGTCATTTCTTTGTCATATTTGATGTAATATTACATGATTTAAACAGCGTAATAATAACCAATCTTTTATTATGTAAGCACTTTAACTGAAGGCATTCAGAAAATGTAACTAGCATTGGGTTAGGGGGTTCAATGCAAATCACACCTTAAAATGTCAATGCGTGAAAAACAAAAAACAACAATTTTTTTAATCCATGACTCATTTTAATCCAAGAATCATTCTCGAAAGTTAGAGAACATAAAATAATACATTTTTCCATCCATGTTTTAAACGAGGTGTGTAGCCTACACGTCAATGGCGACATTAATAGCAAAGAAAATGACGAAATGCCAAGACGTGTTTGGCTGTATAACAGTAACTCGACTGTCCTTATTCTTATCGACATACTGTACCCCCATGTAGCTAGGCAAGGGAGCTCTAACGGTCCTCCTTTCGGTTAACATCCCCATGGACAAAATTTCGTTATTACGTTTATGGGCATCCTTAACATCCTGGGCTAAGATGCACATATCAAATATAACGGGTCATGCATATTTATCCTCATTTTCACAAGTCTACAGAGCGTAGGATTTTTCCACACCACTCCCATTCTTTCACAGATTACATTGTGAAAAGCTAAAAATGATAACCTTTGACAGCAATTTGGAACATCGTTTTTCTTTATTTTTTCAAAAGCGTAAAGTTGGCTTTAACCCCCTCTCCCCCTCCCCTTCCAGCGTACGGTTTGTTGACTTGTGAAAATGATGATGAAAATGGATGATCCCTAAATATAAGCAAAGCATGGCTACATAAATCCACCCTGAGCACAATACGCCAAGAGGTAATGATCGAATTCTTACCTTTGTTTTATCGTAGTCAATACCACAGCTTAGTGCACGAGAGCATTTCCTTGGCAAGCAACAGAACAACCAATCAAATATCGGCATCATAAGTTTAGGGTCTGCGTCTTCGATCTTTTCTGCGCCTGATTTTTAAGTTGGAGATAAAGAGCAAACATAATGAAAGAAAAAATATGAAGGAAGAAATAGAAGAAAACACAAAGGTACTCAAAAAAAGATAATAAAAATTGCCAGGTTAAACTGTAACAGTTCTCTTGCATCAGTGACTGTCAGTTATCATTATTATTATTATTCATTTTTATTCCGAGGAAATGACGTTAAATTTGTCTGTCACATTAGTGTTACTTGATATGTTACCTGTTAAAAAACTGACAATAAGTCCCACCACGACGACGGTTGCCATGCCAATGCAGCCATTGTATTGGTAAGAGATACTATAAAGACCGTTCAAACCCTCACTGAAACAGAAACAAATACGGCGCTTCAACAAACATCTCATCCGTAATGGCATGTACGACGCAAAAACAAAATGCATTGTAGCTCACAAATAACTTAAATCATTTGACAGGCAAACATGGTTGTAAAGTCCATGGTTGTAGGGGGGGGGGGGGGGCTACCCAACCACCAGACTCGGCACCGAATGATCCTGAATTCACCTGTAGATCGGACCACACTACCCGTTTTCAAGGTATCAGACGCGACACCGACCTTGCCTAGTACACGGTGTGATAAGTGTGATACTGATGATTCTCAGCGGGGTTGGAAAGTAGTGCATCTCAGCTCAAAATTTGTTCCGGGTATGATACTGGTACTGCGAAATGCGTGCTGACGCACACCTTGAAAACGGGGAGTGTGGTCCGATCTACCGGTTAATTCGGGATCATTCAGTGCCGAGTCTGGTAGTTGAGTAGGCTGGGTAACTTACTCTAAAACAAAATTAAAACTAAAACACCTAACACATTCCATTATTTTACTTTTTCCAAGATTTATCATTTCTAGCTACAGTAGTGCTAACAAAACAACTGTTTTGGGGGATATTATTCATTTATTTCTTTGAAAACATAATTACAGAATGTGTAAATTTTTTGTCTCTCACCTGGCTATCGTGGGTACAGGAGTCGTGGAGGCCCACTTCGCAGTGATATTCAGGTAATTTGTGCAGTTCGTGATGTCAGTGGGTAGATAGTTCACTGGTGGCTTATTAATCAATGAACCAAAGCTGATCCATAACGGGAACGCTAGACCCGTCAAACCCCCGACTATGGCGCCCTAGTGAAATATTCGGTTAATATGGTCACATAAAACTGACTTTGAAAATAAAAGTGTTGATAACCGGTCTTATACTAAAAGAAATGAAAGTGAAAATATAAACTGATTATAACAACCATGCCTTTACGTGTTCTTAAAATGAGGGCTTCTCTCCCTTAAAATATTTATTTCACAAATTACATAAATGTAATCGAAAGCATGTAGTTACCCTCTACCAGGGTGAGTGATAGATTTTTTACAGATATTCACAGATATGTCTCTAGCTAGATAGATGGTCATTTTCAGCTAAACCCAGTTCAGCTGTAAATGACTATCTATCTATCTATCTGTAAAAAAATCTATCACTCGCCCTGGTACAGGGTAGCATGTAGTACACTTTACTTACTATCCAGTTTGACCAAGGAAACACTGAACCAAGCAAAAACAATCCTAGAAGCGGTCCCACGGATGCCCCGATGAAAGCTAAACCAACCTTAAATAGAAAAATATATCCCTTGAAACACATTGCTTTCTGTTTGATTAAATAGGCCGTTCTCGGCATTTTTGAAGTCTTCCTTATCCCTTTTTATTTGATTTTTTGCTAAAATGCCATGACCGGTTTCTCCATGTACATATGTTCAGAGGTTATCCAGTTGTAAAAGGCCCCATTCAACAAAAAAATTCCATATAAAAAGAATATTAATGCTTATCAATGATCGGGTGGTTCATTCCTCAGAATCAAATGCACGTATTAATGCTTATCAATGATCGGGTGGTTCATTCCTCAGAATCAAATGCACGTAGGCCCCCTACCTAGAGGACAGGGAGATTAAAAATGCCAAAATCAAAAAGACCAAATTATCAGTAACAAATAATTATAATAATATAAATACATTAATTAACACAATATGTAAATATTTAAAAAGTTAAAATATGTTGGTTCTCCCCTCTTTTATTTTGTGGGTCATGCTGGATATATTAATAATAAGAATCTCTTTCTTAAAATGGCATCATTGAAAGATTTTCAAAACATTAGTTTTCCAGTGTCGCTCTTTTTGTTACTGTCGAATCCAAAATTCCGAGGAAGGAGGGCAATTTTACCACCCCCGTCCCTTTCCCCCCAACTTCCTCGCCGCGAAGAATTATTTGAGAAAAAGTATGCAATATGTTGTGTTTTGCGATACTCGAGATCGTGTTCTAAAACGTCTACCTCTTTCGGAAATAAACGATGGCTTTCGCAATTTCATGGCAAACACTGTCACCTAGCGTACCTGAATAACAGTGCCTCCTACGGTCGCCATGAAAAATGCCAATCCAGTTCCAGCTGCTCCAAATAACACAACTAAAAATAAATTGATAAGTAAACAAAAATATGGTGGATTACCAACTGTCAGTATATTTTCTTACGAAAAAAAATAAATAAATAAAAACAGAATCATAAGCTCATTGAAGTATTATCAAACAAAATATGTACCTAATCCTTTCGTGATCATTGTTTGTTTTTCTGCAGGCATTTTCTTGAAAAATCCCTTCAGCCAGTCTTCCCAAAATATGGCTGCTGCCGCACTCTGTATGGACGAGATTGTGCTGAAGAAAAAAAAACATGTTTTAATGTTTTAATACAAACGAAAAAAAAGAGAAGATAGTTGCGTCCGATCCATACTTTTGGGAATCTTCTTGACGGTTTCTTTTTAATTACATATAGTCTTAATCAAACAGGAATAATAATAATAATAATAATAATAATAATAATAATAATAATAATAAAAGTGGGAGGGGTATCGTGATAAACATGAGAAGAGGTGCTCTCTCTCGGTAACGTTAGACTCTACAGTGGGTAGGGATTGCCAATCAGATCAATCGGCAATTTTAGTTTTCTCAAGTCAAGATGAGATTCAGAAGAAATCATGAACAAGACTCCAAAAAGGATGAATTATTCAATTTTAAGTAAAATATATATACATTAGTGATTCATAAATTGCTGTCCGCAAAAAAAAAAAAAAAAAAAAGAAATGCACGCCAAATGATAGAATATTCCTGAATGTTGAGGGGCAAATCGTAATTAAAACTGTAACTAAATTAAATTGAATTTTCAAAAAACTAAAAGGCTGCTTACCTTAACACTGCACTCATTACGCTACCAACAAACAAACCAGGAACACCGGGATAGTACAAGATATCCATCAGGAAATACATGATCAACTGTAAACAAATTTAAACCCACGATTAGGCGGTAAAAAAATGCAATATTTAAAACCTGCACACCCTTCCAGGGTTAACTCTTCATATGAGATCCATATGCCACAATAAATGCATTGTAAATATAATAAATTCTATTTTACCACCAAAACGGCCAAAACAAAGATTTTATGGTTTGGTTGGCAAATACACTCTTGCCCAAAATGGTTGGTACACGGAAAGTTGGGGATACATATCGCCCTGTTTCTTTCATTATTATTGATATTATCAAATTAATACTGTTTATATTGTTAAATGTGTGAAGCTGGAGGATTGGTGAAGTCAAGGAGAAACAAACAATGCAAATGTGAAAAAAGCATTAATTTATTTAGTTTTTTTTCTCATGCCCCCCAAAAGAGTACTTTTTTTACATAACAGTACCAAGGGAAAAATTAAACATAAATTTACACTGTGATTGACAATTAATATGAAATTAGGAAAAATTGTCAAGAAACATCTTCAGAGTTCATTTTTAATCTAAGTAGCGGGTATGCCCACCCCGAGCTTGGATAATGGCCTCCAAATGGCGTGGCATACAGTGAACTAGAGTTACAGCGCTTTGGAGAGGAATTCTGGTCCATTCATCTTGAAGGGCATCTCGCAGTTCATCTAGATTTGTAGGGGGAGGGTTTCTCCTTTGAATAGCACGACCAAGTTTGTCCCACATGTGCTCAATTGGGTTTGCATCTGGGCTTCTTGCTGGCTGTGGCATCAGCTGGATGTTGTTTTGTCGGATATAGACTGCAATTAAGCGGGCTGTGTGGAGAGTTGGGTTGTCATGTTGCAATCTAAAATTGTCTCTGTATATCCCTCTTGCAAACGGCTCCAGGTATTGCTGGAGAATGTCTCTGTATCTGGCAGCGTTAAGGTTTTCATCCAAAAGAGGCAATGGGCAAATACCGTTGCTGCAAATGGCACCCCAAACATGTACAGAACCACCTCCTCCAGCTATTGTTTCCTGAATATTTTCAGTTAATAGCCTCTCCCCAGGGAGCCTACGCACTCTCATAGCTGGAGGAGGTGGTTCTGTACATGTTTGGGGTGCCATTTGCAGCAACGGTATTTGCCCATTGCTTACTCTGGACGAAAACCTTAACGCTGCCAGATACAGAGACATTCTCCAGCAGAACCTGGAGCCGTTCGGAAGAGGGATATACAGAGACAATTTTAGATTGCAACATGACAACCCAACTCTCCACACAGCCCGNTGCCATTTGCAGCAACGGCATTTGCCCATTGCTTCCTCTGGGTGAAAACCTTAACGCTGCCAGATACAGAGACATTCTCCAGCAGAACCTGGAGCCGTTCGCAAGAGGGATATACAGAGACAATTTTAGATTGCAACATAACAGTGCAACTCAACACACAGCCCGCTTAATTGCAGACTTTATCCGACAAAACAACATTCAGCTGATGCCACAGCCAGCAAGAAGCCCAGATGCAAACCCAATTGAGCACATGTGGGACAAACTTGGTCGTGCTATTCAGAGGAGAAACTCTCCCCCTGCAAATCTAGATGAACTGCGAGATGCCCTTCAATATGAATGGACCAGAATTCCTCTCCAAAGAGCTGTAACTCTAGTTCACAGTATGCCACGCCGTTTGGCGGCCATTATCCAAGCTCGGGGTGGGCATACCCGCTATTGAGATTAATAATGAACTCTGAAGATGTTTCTTGACAATTTCCCCTAATTTCATATTAATTGTCCATCACAGTATAAATTTATGTTTAATTTTTCACTTGGTAGTGTTATGTAAAAAAAGTACTCTTTATGGGGGCTTGAGAAAAAAACTAAATAAATTAACGTTTTTTTCACATTTGCATTGGTTGTTTCTCTTTGACTTAACCAACCCTCCAGCTTCACCTATTTAACAATATAAACGGTATTAATTTGGTAATATCAATAATAATGAAAGAAACAGGGCGATATGCATCCCAAAATTTCCGTGTACCAACCATTTTGGGCAAGAGTGTAGTATTTGTGTTCAGCCTCAAACCAAAGTCGACAATAGAAAGGCATGTATTTTTCTACGGGTTCGCATGCCGCTGATATTACTTTAACTTCTCTGCCTCTTACTGAATCTGACAAAAATTTTCCTGTCTCTGTCAACTGAATTGCCCTCAGATTTGAACGTTCATCTTTCCCGAGAGAAGCGTTCTTGGAACCGAACACGCCGTGTCCAACAGCTTCGTTATATCTTGTTAGTTTTTTCTACCTGTTTGCTGTGCTTGAGAAGTATTTAATAAAAGAAGTTCTAAGCCATAGGTTCTTTAAAGTACATGTAAATGGCTATATTTGGGATGTGATTTATGTAGCTGTGACCTGGATTTGAATCTCGCCTGGATTTCAATCTTGCCTGTGACATATATATATATATATATATATATATATATATATATATATATGTGTGTGTGTGTGTGTGTGTGTGTGTGTGTGTGTGCTACATTGTACGTTCGCTCCTACCATTATAATGTTACTGTATTCTAACATTGTATACATTAATTGTGTTGACTTTGAATCCGTAATAGGAAATTTTAAAAAAAAATTTCCATTAATATGTTCTATATGGGTCTTGTATCGAAAAATAGGAAGACTTTCTGTAGCGAGATCTTTATCTGATTATACACTTATAAAAGCATGTTTATGTCAGCCAAAGTCGTGTTCCAAACTTGTCCCTGTCGTGCACATGCAGGAAGTGCGCATGCGTAGAAATTATTTGTCCTTTATTTTGTTTGAGGCTGAAAAGTGATTGAATGTATGTTTCATTTATCAGTGTTCTCACTCCTTCCAGTGTACTTGGAAGAAAACTATTTGTACGAAGCATGATTTCACACCGATCATTACAGAAACTGGATTGTGCTATCAGTTTAATGCAGGTAATTAAGAATACTAAAGCTGCAGTTTATCACTTCATTGTTTTCCCCTGTATCGCATTTTTCTACAATATCTAGTATTACATTTGTGTTCCGCTTCCGAGGGTGTCCCCTTGTGCAATCAAAATGTCATCGTTTTACAATGCTCTTGACGTCAGATTGTTTGAGCATATTCTGCAGGCTTGCACAGCTAAAACAAGAACTTACTCATCACAACCATCACATTTACTTGTACTTAATGTAATGTGGTTTATTTGTCGTCCATGAAACATATGCACACACACACACATGCGTATAGAGTTGTACTGAGAGCCAGAAAAATTTACCTACATTTTAGTGTTCACAAAACTGTTATGATTATTATTATTATTATTGTTGTTGTTGTTGTTGTTGTTGTTGTTGTCGTCGTTATGGCTGTTGCTGCTGCTGTTATTATTTTTAATAATTAAAGAAACTAAAAAAACTATTTGAATGTACAGTTTGTGGATAACTGTATTCCAGGAGGAGAGGAACATCTTCACCTTGAAACCCAAGGTTCAGGATACGGATTTGGCATGACCCTCTTGGCCAAACAACGAGATTATGTGTCCTATGCGTACCCAGCCGGCTTTTTGGTAAGGGTAAGCTGTAGTGTGGATGAGTTAGAAGTCTCAAGAGCATCAAGTAATGCTTTAGAAAGAAAATGCGGTCATGTGCATTATTGCACCACATAAAATCAAATTTATGCGATAAATATAAGACAGTTAGTTAAAATAACAACTGTGCATTATTATTCCCCATGCCCGTAGTCAGGGGGGATCGGGGGTTGAAAGATCCGCCCCTTTTGCTGGGAAAAGGTTCACTCTGGGGAAAATTTGATCTAGGTACATTAAGTTTTTATGGGAAAAGGTCCACTTTTTCAAAAAAAGACCCCCCCCCCCCCTTATGAAATTTGAAATTTAAGACGATGCCCTTTGGTATTTCTTTAAGTTACGCTATCTGAAACTTGTGATGACGTTTCATAAACTATTATGCAATCATGATAATGATCTGCCTAATAATGATAAGCCATTATCTGTTGTTATCTGAATTGACGATTTTCTTCGCGTGGTAGGGCTACATGTATAAATTTGCTTGATGTTTTTGATGTGTTTTCGGGAGAGAACTAGCAGCTAAAACTCTCGATAACTGAAACATACTCCTTAAATGTTTATTTACATTGTAATGATTTTTTTCAGATTATCATTCATAGTCCTGGTGACCATCCCGACATTAATCTTGGCACTCTGATTCCATCCGGGGGATTTACCGGTGTTTCCCTCAAACTAAAGCGCGTACGTTTCTTTCTTTAGTTTTTCTTATTTATATTATTAGTTCGTTTATTAATTCATTGCCAATTAAATCTTCGGCGAATTTTACTACTGTAATGCACCTCAGTCTTGTCTGTAACCTACAAATATGAAGTGAGTAGTTGTCGTTGCACACTGTCACTCAATCAGCCATGCAGTCAGCCTGAAGTCCTTCGACAAAGTTGGATGTAGGCTAACAGTTAGAAAGAATCGTTCAGCTTGTGTTAAATAATCATCATCTAGGGTGTAATTTACAAGCTTATGTACAACTTTGCGCAACTGTAAATCAATTTGAAACCAAAAAGGCATGAAGAGAGCGCAGACATGTTCCGAGGTAAAATGTAATAGTTGAGAGCACACCTCTTGCACAGCGGGTCGGGGTCATTAACCTTATCTCGTGATAGTGTAGAATCCTATCTAGAGATAGAAATTGGGTGAAGGATAACCCAGATCACCACCAAAATTTGATCACCTTCGAAGTAGCCCATTTCAGACCTATGCTGAAAATGTCATCCAAGTCCATCCATAATTTTGAGTTATGCTGGTGACGAACAGAAAGATAGAGTGACACACGGAGGAAAAAACATTGTCTCCTTGGCGTCAGTAATTATTCCTTTCAGTAACTTATATAGTTCATGGAATCTATACTGCTGCCAAATTGCTGTATATGAACGAACTACTTTATGATAATCATACATCTTACACATTATTTTCCAGTTGATAAACCTTCCTCCGCCACACGGGAAGTGTGGTGAGAAACCCCTGGTTTACTACAACAAGTAC